GTGCTTGAGGACCGAGCTTGACACCATGACCAACAACTATGTCAATTTGTAAATCACTTGGTGGAAAGTTCATCCATATCAACTCATCCATACCAAGCAGCATTTCTGCCTGAACAAGATTAATCTTGTGACGGAGAGCTGCTTTCTTGTCATCATCATTGCATCGTGGGACAAAGAAGGTGACCTCTACCTCAGGACTTTTTGCAACGTTTATTGCCAACTCTCTGTTTAAAGTGGAAAGTCCTCCTTTACTTGATCTCCATTCTGATGCCAGGAAAGTAACTTTTAATCTTCCTGATGATGAGTGTACTCCAATATTTTCTTGAGATTCGCCTTCATTGGATTCCTGGGAAGAGCTCGATGATTCCGAAACCTGAAATAAATCATGCAAAATTGTGGACAAGGTAACTGGAATTATAAGTGAAACGATTTTGGTGGGTTCCCGGCCACAAAGTTTGTCCCATGTAGGAGAGAAGAGAAATTCAGTTTTAAGAAAACGAAGGAAGCGAAAAATGCCTGCTGCCGCTATCTTACAAAACTTCTTTGCGAGGTTTCCTTCAATTTGATGAAAAATAAGTAAATGATGAAATAAATTGTGTACCCGTTGATAAAAACGCGGGCTGCATACAAGTCACGTGGCCCATCAGGCCGGCGCTTACCCCCGGTTTCTGCAGCATGAAGCGACTAAAAATATCTCTACTCTCCCCTGCTGGTCCATCGCAGGGCTACCTCCAGCATTAAATTCGCCAGTACCCATTTTTACACCTGGGTGGAGAGACCCGGTGATACAGTTTCTTTAAACACGAGCTACCGAGTTAGCAAATGATTTAAGACATAAAGAGTTAAATACCTTTCCCTGTGAAGACATCACCGGAAGCGTTTGGTGCCCAAGGAATGTCCTTACTGGTTACACAGTCACTAAAACGATAAATGGGAATTCATGGCTTCATTAGCTCTTTTTCTTCCAGGTGTGGGATGAAGTATAATACAGCACAATAGAGTTTGTTTTCGTGTGCCATTGTCAAAGAGAGCAACTGAAGATTTATATCATCAGTAAACAGGTAATGAGACATGTTGACCTTTCTACAGCTGGAGGGTAATCAGTTAATCTCGGGACACTGATGTTTCACAGAGGGCTTCTATTACAATGCAGCGAACTCAACCGGGGCCACCCAACGTTTTTCTGCCAATCACAAGACGATTTCAGAACAAAAGAATCGGAATTCGTTCATTTCGTGATAACAATGGGGTGACAGGCTTACACAACTCCTATCCACGTGTAATAGCCGCTTTGAGAGTTTTGCTCGAACTAGTATATCTTTAAGTATATCTTTAAGGATCTGCCCCTATTGTATGGTACGATACATTTTGTATTATTACGCCGGGCCCGGCTGTTTGATTAGCTATTGCCAGTTATGCTGCTTCTTATCACGGGTGTCATATTTATCTTTTTCCGACTTCGCCAGAGATAGCTGTAGCTCCCGGGGAGGACACTGCCATATATGGGCTATATAGGTATGTGCCGCTGTGAAGGGTATGGAGCCTTTAATCATTCGTTTATATCGATCATTCATTCGTTTATATCGATTGCTTTCGAACTCACGAGATCACGTAGGTTTGTGAAGGAAAAACCACGAAGACTTTCCCTGAATCGAATCGCTAAGCAAGAACCATAAGTGTTTTCCTTACAACGAAAAAATCGTTATACCTTCTACCTCTCGAAAATAACTAACTTGACACACTGCAAAACTGCTGTAAAACGGCCTTAGACGGCTGATGTTCGAAACCCGGGGGGGCACTCCTATATGAAAAGGTCGGGGATGCTCGTCGTCTCGGGTACAAATCAAGGATTCTGGTCTGATTTAGGGTGTTGATACGACGTCACCATTTTTAGCTGTCAAAGTATCTTTTAGGGTGCATTCGAGGAAATAATGATAAAAGAAACGCTCTCATTTAATTACTGTTTTCAGGCTTGATTTCCGCTGATCTCTCGAGTACGCGAGTCGGGTCTACAAGTGCGCGCGGGATCCTTTCTTGAACAGTGGCTAGTGATCGAACCTACCCCGTTTTAAGTGGTATCTTTTAGGGGTCTAATGAAGCTCAAGGAGCGTCCATATTAGTCTCCCTTAGGAGTTAAATTCAAATCTTCCGACGAGCATCCCTTGCCTTTTCATACGGGAGTCCCCCCCGGATTTCCAAATGTCTAACGCGAAGTGAAGGAGTAAAGGAGTGATGGAGTGAAATCGTGCCACCTCTGCAACTTGGAAAATAATAAGTATTTTCAAATTTAAAAAGGAAAACAACTTGTTAACTTTGATTATCAAAATGTAAATTCTCTTTGCTCGCGTCATGATTACGTCACTGACAGCTCGTGCTAGTTCTGTGCTTCTATCGAGTTTTAGTAGAATTCTACTAGTATACTAATGCAAATGCTGCAATCTGACTGGCTGAGCTACTCGTATACTATCAGCCGTTAGAGTGCAGTGGCTGGCACTCGTCCATGAAATGCGACGTTTTTATAATTTTTCTGAAGTTTTGAAAGAAAGTTTAGATGTAAATGGATAATTCAATTTCTGAGAAGGCTAAAAGAAAGACATTAACGGTTTCTTGACTATAAAAGCTTTAAATTATTGAAAAAACGGGTGCACGCGCGTAAACCTTCGGCCTCATCAACTATCACCTTGTAGAAATCGAGAGCGAATAATCTAATTGTTAATTAGTATAAACCTACTAACGTTCTATTACGAATGCCGTTCTCTAATTGGCTACGCTACACACTATCTATTCTGTGATAGGTAGTGAGTAGCGTAGCAGTGTGCCCTTGCTAACAAAGTAATGGCCGCTCATTGGCATTTTCGAAGTGTCTGTAAAGAGGATTTCGATAAAGTTTTGAAAAACTAGTGGATTTATACTAAAACAATTAGATTATTCGCTCTCGATTTCTATGCGTGATAGTAGGGACCTTAAGCACCGACGACGAATGGAACGATGACGACGAGTAAAACTGTTGTAGGACTGGGTCGAGGACGTCGTTCACGGCGTGAAAACCAAGTGCGAGTACATGTAAGCAGAACTGAGTTGTTGTAAACATCGACCTAAAACTATCGAAAAATTTTGTCATGTCTTCCTTTCACAAGACCTGTTTCTCTTGAGCAACGAAAACGGTACTATAGATGACAACAAATTTTCAGTCCTACATGAGGAATTGATGTCAAAAAATCCCGATTTCTCATACGAAGAACATAGCAGGTTTTCATTCGACGAGATGAATGATGCCGAATTTTCGGCCCGATATAGTCTAAAACGACCTTCACGGTATGAAATTCTATCCTAAAAACATAAGCGAAAGCCTCCATGTGGATAGGAACCTGAAGAAAATGAATTACAGAGTCATTTTTTCAATTTCTGAATTCATTTAGTTTTCTACTTTCGCTGACAAGCAAATTCAACAACGAACAAATCGACAAACCCAAAATAATGTTGATACCAACGATTTCTACACCAAACTCGCCGTAAAATCTAGTTAATACAAAGCTAAGAGGTTAACTAAATAACCAACTTTCATTTCAATAGTTTGATACACATTTTCTGCCTGAAACACTGCGTAAATAAATTAATACTTACTCACGTTCGCTCAGAACGGCAAACCTGACGTTTTGACGTCCTAAACTTCACGTGGACGACGAGTCTAGCATGCGTAGTAGCGCTGTAAGGGGAAATTTTACTTCCGGTCGTCGTCCTCTGGGCTCGTCGTCGTCGGTGATTAAGGTCCCTAGTTTTGCGCCCTCGTCAACTATCACACGATAGAAATCGGGAGCGAATAATCTAATTGCTTAATAGAAACACCATTTTTACCCAATCAGAGTGCTTATTTTCTTAGGGCTGTTTTCTAAATCACTTTTAACTTGGAAAATATTATTCTCCAAGTTGTAGTGGTGAAGCGATATCACTCCATCACTCCTACACTCCTTCACTCCCATATGAAACTCAGGGATGCTCGTCGGGAAATTTGAATTGAACTCCTAAAGGAGACTAATATGGGAGTTACTTGAGCTTCATTAGACCCCTAAAAGATACCCCTTAAAACGGAATAGGCTCGATTACTAGACACTTGTCAATAAAGGATCCCGCGCGCACTTGTAGACCCAAAGGAGATCAGCGGAAATCAAGCCTTAAAAATAGACATTAAAGGAGAGCGTTTTTTTAAATTATTATTTCTTCGAGTGCACCCTAAAGGATACTTTGACAGCGAAAAATGGTGACGTTTCGTCGTCAACACCCTAAGTGAGACCAGAATCCTTGATTTGTACCCGAGACGAGCATCCCCGACCTTTTCATAGAGGAGTTTCGAACATCCGCCGTCTAAGGCCGTTTTACAGTCGCCTGCACCGTGTCAAAGAAGTTTTTTTTAATTTCTGACGCAAATGCTCCGTATGTTATTGCAGAAATGCTCTACACTGAATAAATTTTCGCATGTAAGTCTTTCTAAATAAAAGCTACCTGAAATTATATAAATAGCTCATTTCCCGAAAGTGCCCGGGGTCCCCACTCATACAGGTTTAACCATACTTGATTGCTGAAAACTGAGAAGACATTGAAAGTCACAAAATTGACGAGCTGTATGAATTTTCAAATGATTCAAACCGTGATTAATGTTTTAGACGATCCCAGAGTCAAGAAAATTGAGGAGAATTTGAGCGACGTGTTCCGCTGTTTATTTATACGTTATTGTAAATACTGAAATACACATAAATACGGTCATGGCGAAATGAGGAACAAAAAGTTGGTAAATAAATGAAACAACATTACACAAGGCTGGGAGCTCTGTAGTCTTTAATATCGCCTTGGAAAGGGAAGAAAAAGAAAGAAGTTATTACAACACGGAGTATTCGTATTTGGTCACCCATCCTAGTACGAACCCCGCCGAACAAACAAGGCTCAACTTTGTTGAGCGGGCGAGACGTGGTGCTGTCCTTGTGGTATAGTGATTCAGTCTACGCTGAACGCATGTTATCAAAACATTCCCACTGTCGAATCACCATTTCTACAGCCTATTCCTAATCAAAGCTCATAGCCCCTTTCAAATAATATAGTACTGATATAAAACATATCCCTACGTTTACTTTATTTGCTTAATTTTAGCTAGTCTAGGGAGACGAGACAGATGCCGACAAGAACGCTTGAAACTGTGTTAAAATTAAAACGACAATTAAATAAATATTCTCACAGTTACCTAACTGATATCATGACTTCTTGCACTTAAGGATTAACAAGGTTAGTAGCTACAAATAATGTAACTAAAATACCAAGGACATCATTAAAAGCGTTGTTTCAAACCAAACTTTATACTTATGTAGCTTGTTGAATAATTAACACTGGTGCACCCACGCAAACGACAGCTAAGTCAGCGTAGGACAGTGCACACAATGCAAATTGTCGATATACAGGCTAACTCCTTGTTCTGTCTGCTTGTGAACAAAGTGATCTATCATCGACACCTCACGAAAAACTCCTTCTTACTGGAATGCTCATAGCATCGAGAGTTGCATCATAGCGTTGAGCCTGTAAAGATTTAGCTCTCACTAAATTGTCGGTGAGTTCCTCTTCTACCGACATTCGTATGGTGTTTGG